GGTTACTGATGGTAACTACCCCCTTAATCCGCTCCTAAGTGGGGCGGAAATCCCTCAAATCGTGGGGGAAAACAGTTTCTAGAACTGTTCCATTCTTGTTTGAATGAGTCAAACGCTAAAAGATAGCGTTCATGGCCCGAACTCTGCGTTTTTAGACTCAAAACGCAGAGTTGGGCCTATTTTAGTATCTGAACGCACAGGCCGCTCAGCGTGATGAACTCTGAGACGCAGAGTTAGTGGCTTAACGCACAGGTCGTATGCATTCTGGAATTGGAGACGCATAGGTCGCTTGTGCGTTGGAATTCAACTCTGCGTCGAGAGTTTGGGACGCATGGTTGAGTTTGTTGAAGAACGCACTTTATGTGTGCGTTTGAGCTTTAACTCTGCGTCACAGAGTTAGATGTCTGCTGGAAAACGCAGAGTTAAGCCTGTTTTAGGCTGAAAACGCACAGTTGTGCTGTTTTAGCGATTAACTCTGCGTTTTGATGTTGAAAACGCAGAGTTGAGCATGTGCGCTTTGACTCTGTAATGCAGAGGCGAACCTTAGGTGGGCTTGGCGGGCTTCAGGCTAAGTCCAATGTTCTGATGAAGTCCAGTCTTGCAGACGGTCTTCAGAACATTACTTGCTACGAAGAACAGGTCATAACTTTCAAACCGTACGTCGGAATTGGACGAATTACATATGAAAATCGGCTATCTCGACGAGACGGGGCCATCCGAACCGAGCCGAAGGCTTCGGTTCGCTTTCTCCGTTTTGCCAAATTCCTCACGGTTTGAGAGATATCTGCATTCTAATATGAAGAGACCGTCAATTTGTAGTCTCTTTTGCTAGAACTTTGCACAGATCGTCCTCTTGTGATCTTCGTCTTGGCTTCTTGTAAATATGAGAGTCGTCAGATTGTAACTCCCGATGTTGATTGTGAAGGCTGTTGAATTGGGGCTTTCATTAGTTGTTGTGAAGGTCGTCAGATTGTAACCTTCTGGAAGTCGTCAGATTATAACTTCCATCATCGGTGTTTTGATGGGGGATAAGCTATCTATTGTGATTTTTAGACAGCCTACATCAGGATCTCAACCACTCGGTTTGGGTGATTCAACAGCAGCAACAGTAAAATCCTTGGAGATAGGATTTTTGAATCAAATTCAGAAGATCAAATCTGAGAGGATTCTTCAACAACAGAATATCAGCTTGGTCATTAACCGAATTTTCGGTTCTAACAACTCTATTAACAGAGTCCTAACTCGTTCAGAGTTCTTAAACTCGTTCAAGATTTACTCATAAAACTTTCCACCGAAGTTCATCGTTCTCACGAGATAGAAGACGGTCGAATCGTCAACGGAGAGCAAATTCGACGCGAGCAATCGAAAGAGGCATTCCATCGCTACCGTGAAGAACCCAGTTTTAAACAAAGGGGAGAACCAAATTCGTTCTCTTCTCTTTTGTAATCAAATTGTAACCGGAATCAAAGAAATACAAGTCAATTTTCTTTTGTTCTCTTCATTGTAATTTTTCCAACATACAACATCAGGTTGGAAAAATCAGTACCAAAGACACCTCAACACAACGGTGTAGCAAAAAGGATGAACAGGACCATCTGCGAAAGAATCTGGTGTATGCTCTCAAATGCAAAATTACCAAACTCCTTTTGGGGGGAGGCAATGAGGATAGCAGTCGATTTAATCAATCTTTCTCCATCAGTTCCACTGAACTACGACGTACCAGAAAAAGTCTGGACGGGGAAAGATGTTTCTTACAAACACTTGAAAGTATTTGGCTGCAGGGCATTTGTTCACATCCCAAAAGACGAGAGGTCCAAGTTGGATGGAAAAGCTAAGCAATGTATCTTTTTGGGATATTCTCATGAAGAGTTCGGCTACAGATTCTGGGTTCCTATTAACAAAAAGATTGTCAGAAGCAGAGACGTGGTTTTTCTTGAAGATCAGACGCTCGAAGATTTTGAGAAACCAGAGAAGCCACAATCAGGTGAACTTCCAGTGAATCTGGAACCAGTGTCTCCACTAACAAATTCTGATGAAGGGGGAGCTACACCAGATACTGATGATGTTCCACCAGCTCGCAGTCCAGAACCAGAGCAAGCTCCTGAACAAGTCCAACCAGAAGCACAGCTAAGGAGATCCACTAGAGAGCGACAATCAAGTCGTAGATATTCTCCTAATGAGTATGTGATGCTCACTGACGGGGGAGAACCTGAGAGCTATGGCGAAGCTATCACTGACCAGCACAAGACTGAGTGGTTAAAAGCCATGCAGGATGAAATAAAATCTCTACATGAGAACCACACATTTGACTTGGTAAAATTATCACAGGGAAGGAAAGCTCTCAAGAACAAGTGGGTGTACATGATCAAAAGTGAAGAAGGCAGCTCACAACCACGTTACAAAGCAAGACTGGTTGTGAAAGGATTCAAGCAGAAGAAGGGCGTTGACTTTGATGAAATATTCTCACCGGTGGTCAAAATATCTTCAATCCGAGTTGTTCTTGGCTTGGCAGCTAGTCTCAATCTAGAAGTTGAACAACTTAACGTAAAAACCGCATTCTTACATAGTGATCTTGACGAGGAAATTTACATGGAGCAGCCCGAAGGTTTCGAAGTCAAAGGGAAGGAGAAGATGGTATGCAAACTGAAGAAGAGTTTGTACGGTCTGAAACAGGCACCCAGGCAGTGGTACAAAAAGTTCGACTCATTCATGGAGAAAAATGAGTACAATCGAACGACAACTGATCACTGCGTCTTCATTAAGAAATTCTCTAATGGTGATTTTATCATTCTTTTGCTTTATATTGATGACATGTTAATTGTAGGTCAAGACTTCGGCAAAATTAACAAGTTGAAGAAAGAGTTGAGCAAGTCCTTTGCAATGAAGAACTTAGGACCTGCAAAGCAAATTCTTGGCATGACGATTACTCGCAACAGGCAAAATCGAAGAATCTGACTATCTCAAGAACGGTATGTTGGAAAAGTTCTTGAAAGGTTCAACATGAGCAAAGCTAAACCTGTCAGTTCTCCACTGGCAAGCCACTTCAAGCTTAATATGAGTCAGTGTCCTTCAAGCGAGGAGGAGAAATCAGAGATGAGCAAGGTGCCTTATGCATCGGCGGTTGGCAGTCTTATGTACGCTATGGTATGCACCAGACCAGACATTGCTCATGTTGTAGGTGTTGTGAGCCGATTCCTATCAAATCATGAAAAAGAACATTTGATGGCAGTCAAATGGATATTCAGGTATCTCAAAGGTACTTCCAGTCATTGTTTATGTTTTGGTAATGGTAAACCTATATTAGAAGGATATACAGATTCTGATATGGCTGGCGATGTAGATACAAGAAAGTCTATATCCGGGTACCTAATAACATTTGCAGGGGAAGCTGTCTCATGGCAATCACCATTGCAAAAGTGTATTGCCTTAAGCACCACAGAAGCAGAGTACATCGCAATCACCGAAGGTTGCAAGGAGATCCTATGGATGAAGAAGTTCCTACAAGAGTTGGGTCAGATCCAGGAAAATTATATTCTCTATTGTGACAGTCAGAGCGCAATTCATCTCAGCAAGAACTCGACCTTCCACTCAAGGTCCAAACACATCGACGTGAGGTATCATTGGATTCGTGATGTGTTGGAAAATAAACTGCTGCAAGTTGAGAAGATTCACACCAATGACAACGGGGCAGATATGATGACGAAGACTCTGCCTAGAGAAAAGCTTGCTATCTGCAGAGAGATTGCTGGTGTAGAAGACCCCTGTCCCACATGAGGTGAAGGGGGAGATTTGTTGGTCCACCTCATGGGCACATGGGCCAGCAAGAAAAGGTGTCACATGGGCCAGCAAACCAAAGAAAAAAGGTCAGAGGGTGGCTACTTTCGGCTAGAAAGCTGTCGACGGAAGAAATATTTCTTTGTGTGGGACCCATATTTGACAAAAATTAGTGTAATTCATGGCGTGAATTACGGAGAGAGGAGGTTGATCTTCTCTATAAATTGAAGACCCCTCATTCAGTTTTCATCATCGGAAATTGAGAAGCAACAAAGTGTATAGCCTCAGAAACATAGAAAGTTTTTCTGAGAAGAAAAATTAAGAGCCAGTTTGTGAAGTTTTATCTACAGATTGAAGTTGTGTTCTTGTGAGAGATCCACCTAAGGGTGAAGTGTGTAATCTCATTATTATAGTGGAAGATTTTAAGTGGCCTACGGGTCCCGTGGTTTTTACCTCTTTTTGGAGGGTTTTCCACGTTAAAAATCCCTGGTGTTATTTTTGTCTCATTTAGTTAGGAAAATTATCCTGGGATTTGTCAATCTTTCCCAATAATAAAGAAGTAGATATTCGGTTATTTTTGAACTTATGTTGAGGTTGATTGCAATAGGAGTTGTAAATAAACCCTATCCGCGGCTAGAAAAGGTTGCAATTGCGTCTAGATTGTATGCTGTTGCACTGACTAAGAGGGAGCCCGGATGTTGCGAGAGTCCGGTTTATAGGCAAAGGGAATTGAGGAGCTAAATTAAGCAATTGGCATAGACACTGAGCCTGAGACTGAACCATACGAGCAAGCTGAGTACAACATTGAGGGGGTTGAGTCGAGGACGAGTTGCCAGTGATAATCCGAGGCAAGGCTGAAGACTGACCATCGGCCGTGGGCAGCTACGCTGAACCAAAGAACAAGCCCACATTGTGGCCACGAGGACTAGGGTTAGACCCACGTTTAGTTGTCTTTGAGCCATCTTGATAACTTGAATTTTCATTTGATGATGATACTGAGAGCAGAAGCAGAGGAGAATAGGATTTTATAAGCAGAGTAGAAGCAGATGGAATATGTTACGTTGTTGGTGAGCTAACTCTTCCTACTTTGAGAATCAATTTGGGTTGTTGTGCTTTAAAAGTTTTTTCCCCTTCTCGATATTAGACCCTTAAATTTTTAATATTTTGAAATTCATATCTCAAATCATTGAAATTAATCTCTCAATTATCCTCTTCCTAACAGGAAATTTTCATATAAATCCAACAAGTATAAATCAACATAATCTACCTCCATAAACAGAGGTTATTACAGGGGAAACGCAAGGGAGATCAGAAAAAAGAATACACATCGGTAAGCATGAATCCTTAGAGTACTAAAACAATAAAACCCGCAAATCCGTACAAACATAAGGCAAGCACAATCAGAGGATAGCGTACAACGAAACAGACACAACGGCTAACACGGCAGAAAAGAACGTTGAGAGGATGGAAGCGTCGGAAGAGTCGCCGCCAGGTGCTGACGGGGTGGTTTTTGATCCAGTTCCTGCAGTAAATAGATCACAAATTGATTAGTAATTACTAATACTTGAAAACTTACAGAGGCCTCAGCAGTTGCAAACAACTAATGCGCATGACAGTTACCTGACGGGATGCTGGGAACTGAAGGGGTCGCCGGAGTTGTAGGGGTGGAGGTGCTGGGTGTCGAGGGTGTTGTTGATGGTGTCGTCGGGGTTGATGGAGAGCTTGATGGAGATGTTGCTGGTCCTCCTGCAGCTGCATGAATGCATAATATATTAGAGCATAGAACTATAATACTCAACCCCCGTTACGAATTCAGAGTTTTGATGTAGTGACTGAGAATTTACAATGGTATCAGAGCAGCCAAGATTCAAATCTCACCGGTCATAAATTTAAAACAGATTTTAAAAAGGATACCACTTAAAATACTCATTAAAAAATTAAAAAGTAAGTCTAGCAGAGAAATCACTACGTTGATTAATGTAGACTTCCAAATCAGATACGATATTAGCGAGGATGAAGGTGAACTGTGATTTTTTTTTTTCAAATTAATCGACGGTAAAAAGAATAAATGAATAAGTATATAGTGTAATAGATTTCTTCTCTAGCTTTCTTTAGTAACTACTCACTTTACCCGCCTACGATGTTTGTGTGATGTAAAACCAGTGCATACATCTGGATGATCATTGTTTGCTGGATATACAACCAATGCATTGATGCACATAATCAGTGCTTATGTGATGTAAATTAGTGTGTATATGTTCCCGATCGAAAGTATTGCACGGTGAGTCTTACCATTGCACTGGCTAACAGGCGGAGTCTTGACCTTGCAGGCCCCAGGAAGCGTCAGAGCCTGAGTCTGGTTAATATTGATCCCAAATGACGAACCTCCGCCATTCAACAGCGAACAGAGACACTGCGCCTGCGTCTGAACTACGCTTGAGAGCTGCGAGCAGCACGAAGTCGACGGGGTCGACGAATTCCCCGTGATATATCCAAGACACGGCGCAAGACTAACAATGGCAGTCGTGCATCCTACAGATTGAGCTGATGCTTGGTTCACAAGCATCACGGCCAGCGCAAAGGCCAGAACTGAAAAGATATTCGCGGTCTTCTGAATCTGAGCCATTGAGAAAATAGTAGCGATACTACTACTAATAGAGTTGTTTGAGGTTGAAGACGAGGAGAAGGTGGTGAGGGTTTTATAAGGAGAGGATTTGGTAACATAGGTGGCCAAACTTGTGGTGGTGTTCAAAGGGGTAACAACTTGGAAGGGGACTTGGGAGTTATTCAAATATAGGAAATGTGTTAGTTATAGCCGAGGACTGGAGTTAGTAGAATGAGACAAATAATTAAGTTTGGTTTTGGTTGGCCAACCTCTTGATTCTGCAACCAGTTGCGTACATGTGGACATTTTTGAGGATGACTTGGAGTGAGTGTCCTATGAGTGCTAGCTAACGAATGTGTATGCAGGAACTGCATTATTTGGAGGTGTTTGATTGCTCGAACTTCTTAAATTATGGTTGCAAGTAGACTTACTCTGAATAAAGATTTAGTTGGTAGTTATTGTACTGCATCCAAGTAAATTATTTCCAGGTATGAGAAGAAATATATGGTAGCAATTGTGTGACCAGTAGTATGAAATATCGTATTTCAGTTAGCTCTTTCTCCTGTAGAGGGTGTCCAAAAATCTCGGGGCATGAGTAGTCCTTGAGGCAGTTATAATGTGATCAATCTTATGAACTGGTTGATTAATCAGAAAACTTCAGCTAGAATTAATCAAACCCAGATTCTTACTAGAGATAAGTATCATTACCAGTGAATTACAACTTGAAATTATCAATCTGGTCTTGACCAGGCCGGAAGCGTCGTTCAATTATGGTTGCAAGGTGATTTTTTTTAAAATTTGATCCGTTATTTCTGCATATATACCCCTCAATATTCCGTATTTGGAAAATTACCCTCCAAATCTTGGTATTTACAAAATTGTCCCCAATTCTCTCACATTTGAGTTTTTGTACCCCCTTCCACTTGACAATTTTGGTTTTTAAATGGCAAAATATTGCAACCTATTGGAAATTATTGGAAAATTTTTATATTGCCCTATTTAGAAACTGATTGTTAAGTTTGACGGGGTACAAAAACCTAGCGAGAGAGAATTAAGGTAATTTGGAAATATCAAAATCTGATAGGTAAATTTATAAATATGGAAGATTTGAGGGTTATATATGCAAAAAAAACCTACAAGGAATTGGGCATTTAAAATGATTATATTGCGATACTAGTTGTTGTGCACGGCGCGGAAGCCAAACAAACAACCAACTATGATGCTTTGAGAAACCAAACCAACAAGGAAGATTTCGAAAACTTTCAAGTCTGCAATGCCCAAAGAGGCCGCAGGTGAAGGTTCCTACTCAATTGCTGCTAAGGAACCCATCTGCAACATACCTGCTCCAAACGACTCCACATCCCTTAAGGAGTCAATGATGAATAGTTCGCCGGTGTTGACGAAGAGGGCTCGTCAGAGACAGCGTCAGCGCCGTGCTCGACAACTGGCTAAGGCCATGCAACAAACCGACGGGGTCCATTACTATGCGGACCTAGAGTCGAGGAAACAGAAAGCGGTTCAATTGCCCCAACGGCAAAATAATTGTATTTCTGCAAAACAGATAATCATATTTCTGCAAAGCTTACGACGGAGGAATGGACTCTCGTCAAAAGGGCCCGTTCAACCCTTAAGGAACGGATACAAAGGCGTAAGGCGAAGGCCGCCCGTGCTCGCGCTCTTCGTCAACAAGCACAAGAAACCAAGAAAGAGGCGGTGACTGAAAGGCCACCGAAGAATCGTAAAGTCTGGATGCCAAAGACGCCACAAGCATCTGTTCCGGGCCCGTCTACTGCAACACCAGTAGAACCCTGGGTTAGCCCAGATTTGTCCAAGTTCAAGATAACAATGGCAGATCGCCTTGGTCCTTCAGTTGATCGAGGCAAAGCCCCAGTCAAGGAACAACCATGTCCGGCAAATAAACCATTAATGGTTTCATATGCAGGGGGTCGTAAACACCCTCCTGTCAGAACTGCACAAGTCCAGAACGAGAGAATATCAGTTCACTCTCGTTTAGGACCTCTGAAAACTCCACACCAGCAAGGGGGTGGATTCAAAAATTCAACTTTGGATCGTTCAGAGGCGACGACCAGTCGTCCTGTGCATGTTAACAAAGTTCAGAAACAAAAGATAGGTTGCTCAAGTCATAATAACGACGATCTCCACCCAACGTGGAGTAGCATCACTCTCCACCTGCTGCGATATCCAAATGACCTGATCAACACTCTCCACCTGCCGAGAGTCAAAAGTGACATACCTGCTCAGAACAAAATCAGAAGCTCCCAAACGATAATCAACTGAGCCTCCGAACCCCAAACGCGCAATCGGATCCAATCTCACATCCACGATGTGACCAAATGCTGGGTATCCAAATATCCGACGCGACCCAAAATCTGAAGCAGCTCCACCAGATCTAATAACTCCTAAAGCAGCAGTCGGCGACCTATGCATAAGATGACCCAAATATGTCGAAGCCCGCACACCAATGCCAATGCTCGACATCAAACGCCGATCCTCCTCCAGAAAGGAACGACCCATCGAAACTGTCATCTCATCTCGTCGCCCCAAAGTCTCCACACCAATGAAGTGTCTCCTATTGCCGTGAGCTCGGCACCAACGCAAGAAAGGACCCCTACCAAAGCTGAAACAATGAGTTACCTTTCTGCCAATACACTTCTTCCAATTGTTGTTGACTTCTAGGACTTTACACCAACGGGAACTGGTCGCGACCCAATAATGCCTAGAACAATCACCAACTGTGGAAACCAAGATACGATTACCTCCCAATGATGCCTCCTTGGAAGGCCCCCAAATGCCTGACTGAACACCTCCAAAAAGACCCCTCGCTCGATGGATAGAAGTGCCAAACTCCACCACGGTCTCGCTCATCCTAATGTGCTCACAGGACTTCAATCTGCAGGTCATAGCACTCCTCAACAACCAATGCACGGTATTACCAATCATATACCCCAGCACCAAACAATGCCACAGTCTAGCCGAATCTGATGAAGTCGTCATTTCCCTATCAATCACCGTGCTTCCGTGCAAATAATACAAATTTCTTCTTCTGACGCCCTTCATCACAATCATGGACCCAAATGTAACCTTCAAGCGTGCATCCGCCAAGGTCACCCTATAGCCAGCTGCCTCCAAAGCTCCAAGTGAAATGATGTTCTTCTTCAACTGAGGAACGAACCTCACTCCAACCAACTCCCGAATCACCCCGTCACTCATCCTGATCCGAACAGTACCAATACCACCAATAGAGCATTTGTGATCATTCCCCATGAGCACGAAATCCCCTCTTTCCAACTCCTGAAAGCTGGAGAACCAATCCCTCCTAGGGCAAATGTGGTATGTAGCACCCGAATCCAATATCCACTCTGTAGAGTAGGCAACACAAACTGACGGCAGTGCAGATAACGAGTAGCCCGAAGAATCCGAATCTGAATCGTTGCCACTAGCCTTGACAACATTCGCCTCTGAAGCTTGAATAGCTTTTCCCTTATTCTTCCCGGCTCGATCAACTAACTTTGGGCAATCGGCTTTCCAATGTCCATCTTCTTTGCAAAAGGCACATTGATTCTTACGAACTCCAAGATGTGCCCCTCTAGACTGCGACCTCCCACTACGGTTTGGACCCTTTGCTCTTGCGACCAACGCCCCCGCTACCGGCTCAAACGAAGTCTCCTTATCCTTCTTTCGAAGCTGATAATTCACAAGTGCAGCGGTGACCTCACTATACGAAAGAGATGCCTTCCCATTAATAAGAGTAAGAACGAAGGTCTCATATTCCTCGTCGGGCAAGGAACTCAACAACAACAACGCCTTGTCCTCATCTTCAATCACCACATCTACATTCGTCAAATCCGCAAGAAGCTTCGTGTAGTGGTTCATGTGATCACCAATGGAGGTTCCTTTCTTCAACTGGAAGCGGTAAAGCCTCCTCTTCAAATGCAAGCGATTCTCCACACTCTTGGTCAAATACTTGCTCTCAAGGATCTCCCAAATCTTCTTTGCAGAAGTCTCATTGATCACATCATACTTTAGATCTTGAGTGAGACAAGACCTAATCACACCACACGCCGTTCGATTCATCTTTTTCCAAACCTTTTCATCAATATTGTCCGGTTTCCCGTCCAACTCCAATGTATCTTCCAAATTTTGCGCGTTGAGCGCATCCATGACTTCGCATCGCCAAAGTCCAAAATTGTTTGTGCCATTGAACTTTTCCACGTCAATCTTCATCGAGTGGATATTCAAGCTTTGGACGGTCTTCACGCCGGAAGTACTGCCCACAACTCCTTCTTTCTCGGCCATAATCCTCAAGGCACCACCAAACCAATGCGGAAACAAACGAGAAATAGATCCAAACTGAAAAAGACGAGATTTTTACCAAAAAGATCCCACCTTTATCACCAAACGAAGCCCTAGATGAACTTCCAAAGCGATCTACTCCTCCAAATAGCCCAAGCGTAGCCCGAGCTCTGATACCACTTGTTGTGCGCGGCGCGGAAGCCAAACAAACAACCAACTATGATGCTTTGAGAAACCAAACCAACAAACGCCGAGAGAAAGACCAAACAAAACACAAACACCAAAGTTTTACGTGGTTCGGCAATTGCCTACGTCCACGGGGCAAGAAGGGGGGTGGGTTTTCACTAATAGAGAAGGAGAGTACAAATTGAGATTACAAATCGCTCAAACGAACCAACTAATCTCACCAACAAATCTCTCAATCTCTCAACCAATAACCCTAACAAATAGCTCAGAAAGATCTCTCTTTTCTGTGCTCCAAAATCCCCAGATTTTCTCCTACAAAACCCTCAAATCGTATTGGTATTTATACCAAAACAGAAACCCAAACAGACTGCAAATAGGAACTCTAACTTTCCAAAAAACCCGTCATAAGTCGACTTAACAGTCTGCATAAGTCGACTTGGCAGAGCGAAAAACAACAACTGGAGAACAGAACGTAAGTCGACTTATCAGACCTGATAAGTCGACTTGGCAGAGCAAAAAACCAACAATTCAGAGCAGAACGTAAGTCGACTTAACAGTCTGTATAA